TCTGCCTTCAGGCACATACATATAAGCAATACAATATGGAAAATTGGTATGAAAAATACCACCGTAGTAGTAAGTTAAAATTGTTTCCGTATTATCTGTGTTGATATTTCAGTCACAATTTTGTATCCGATAATTGTTGTATTTTATTATTACCATTATTGTAATTATTATTATTGTTGCAAGTTTAAGTTAATTCTATAGTTCTAAAGTCAAAGTTGTACACTTAACAGGGCCACCGTCGTCTCGAAAGAAGGACCCTCACTCTTGTGAAACTGCAGCAATACTTAAGAAATTAATGCTTATGTATGAATTTCGATCCAGTTTAACAAAAAACGAAAAATTCTAGCTCCATAATTAGCATTTTCTTTTACGACATTAAACGAAGTTCATAACTTTTCTGAACAAACTTATATCGTACTTGATTTCTCTTCTGAAGCGTTTCGATTAACTACAGCAATTTTTTGAAAATATTCGAAAAGCATAGAGTTCGTTTGCCAGGGTACAGAGTTCACTTCGAGAAAGAAACAGCAGGGACTTCAAGATGTCGATGGCGGATCAGTGCTAGATATAAAATCGAGATTGGCATAGAGAGTAACCTAAACAGGTCCTCTAGAAACTATTCTATCCCACCTTGCAGAGATAGCGCCCAGGTTCCTGCGTCGTTTCCTATGGCTCCCGTAGTCGATTAATTCTGGCGTTCTCTACGCGGCGAAACGAGTTGGTCCACCAGAAGCAAGCACCTCCTATTAGAATGAAGCTGCATATTCAAAGTGCTATTAAACACCCGACTTCGATTTTATAGCGCATGGTTTTGTGCTGGCTTTGGCCTTTTCCATCGTGAAAACGGCAACTAGCATCCTTCTCCGCTGGAGCAGTTGCGTCTAAGGAGCAGTAAAGGGATCTCCTTGAACTGCTAAATAGATTGAAGTCGCTGAATACAGTGAGTCAGGTTGTCTTACAATAAAGAAAATGTTTGGAAACATCCTAACTTAAATAGGAAGAGAGACGGAAGGGATTCTTCTTACACACATAGTATGTTTTTAGGAAGCAAACTGGGAGCATTCAAAAAGGTTCTAGAAGAGGCGGAAAGGGGAAAAGTCCAAGCCGCTTAAAACTATACATTTTGTTCATTTAATTCTACTCGAAACTATAAAAAACTCTTCCCATAGTAAACATAATAGGGGTACATTGTGCCCTCAAAAGAAAATGTATTTTTTCATGCCTCTGCCGTAGGACCTCATCACGTTCGTAAGATTAGCAAGTGACCGCACTGGAAATGGATACATTTCGATTTATAATTGGAGCCCAGCCAAATTGTTTCAATGCTAAACAGCAGTGCCAAATTCGAAGCATTTATATAGATTTTATCTTACAGCACCTCTTGATTGTCTGCATAATACTAAAAGTGATCCCGATACGAATAGCTAAGGTTTCTTAAGTTGTTTCTATCGGTGGCTGATCACGCGACGTTTGCATTGAATCTGCATTACGAATTCATTTATTCATTAAACTAATATATATAAATATATATATATATATATAAATATATATATATATATATATATACGCGGTATGAACGATACAGAACATACATTTGAAACATGGCACATATTATCATCATGGTTAGAAGAAATATCCCTTCACTCTTCACATCTGCGAAATGTTAGCAAGCGTTTAGAAAGAACCTGATTAAAAACAATTTGTACTTTTTATTAATTATATTATCCGAAAGAAGATATTTCCTAATTAACGTATATTCAGATCCTGTTTTCATGTTCATCACATGGTTTAATTTGCAGCAAGCGATAAATTGGATATTAGCAAATAAAACTTAGTAGATCGTAAATTTCATCCATGTCGTACAGGCCCTGCTTGTGTTTCATACATATCATGACACTTTATACCCGTTGGTTGGACGAGAGTTTACTTATAGAAGAACAAAGCAGAGATCAACATAAATATATATATATATCGTATTACCTTGTCCGGAACTATTTAGCGGGTGTATAATTTTATATAACTCTTAAACTAGACTCCATTTTAGTAGAGAACAGTTGAAAGAAGTGTTTTTTTCACTTTTGTTTTCAATTTAGGATCATTAACTAATCGAGTGGCACTGAATAGTAGCCAAGTATATACCATTTAGTTCTAAAAATCAACCTTCAATAATTGGGTTTCCGTTTTCGGGACATGAGAGCTCTAGTGAAGTCCACCAACGATTGTTAAAGCTATTTGGCAAAAAGGCTTCCAACAGAACAATAGTTTGCTATTTGTGATAATTTTAAGAGCAAACATTGCGAAGTCAAAGATCTCAGAAAAGACTGGCTATATTTCAGGAGGAACAGCAAGTGGCTGTGATTCTAGAAGTTTTTGAACAAAACAGCATGGGCGTTACGTTTTATCCATATTCGTATTATCAAACTATAACGACACTCATGAAGATAATAACAAAAAACAGTATTACGTCTTTTACGAACTGGCCTAAAGGCTGACAGAAAAAGGTTTGGAACTATTAGTAGCAGTATTGCGTCTGGAGCTGCGCTGCCCACCAAGGATCAAACGGGACAATAGGATTGAGACAACTTCGGTTGTAATACCGCAGAGATTCGGCTGTTGGAGCAGGCTCATATTTGCAATAAATATAGGAGGCATTTCTTGGCACGAGATGTTCCCCGAAGATGAAATAGTCAAGGCCATTAAATATATGGGATCTCTAAAAAAACCTCCTAAATTGTTAAGCAGAATTCGACAGTACACAGAGTAATTCTCCGACAATAACATACGTTCTCATCGCCACGTTTCAGGCATGGCCCGAACTGAAAAAACGCAGACTAAAAAAAGGACCATCTTCTTTAAATTCAGATCCGGCCGGCTTTAATTGTTTTTCTGCATCAAAGAGAGACATAACTGAATTTGATGCAGTAGGTTAAAAAAAACACACGCAGCTATTGACAAACTTTCAGGACACTGAATTCAGCGTGCAAATAATAGAAGGGAGCACGTTTAACGAAAATTCTAGGTTCTACTCTCTATAATTTGAAAGTTATATTTTCTGCCATGCCTACTAAATAACTCCTGACACCCCAATATCTAGTACTTTTTTTTACTATGCAAGACATTTTATTTATTCAATTTATACCAAATATCTATATGAAACTCTAGTGTCAGCAGGCGACTGTGACAAAATTGAGGTTTTTTGTAATCTATGTGATAGTAAACATTACATATACGCGAAACTATTTTTTTTAGCATCTACTATCATCACTTGAAACAGTACTTGGCATTAGCATTCTATTAGGAGTCAATCTGCGCTCTTCTAAATATATAGAAATATATATGAATATGCTAAATAAAACCTACTGAGATGCATCGGAGATGCTATTATCTCTATATGCTTAGCTGACTATCGTTTTCGTTAGTTAAAATTATCGATGGACATACGTGTTTGCTGTAGATGTTATTGTGTACGGTCCCTGTAGCATAATCCGTTCTTAGATTTGGAGGATTTGTAAGACAAATAGGAAATATGGGGTTTTATGCATACTTATCGATAGATTTGGGCAGCATACATCGATCATGCGAGAGAAACGAGGTCGTACTTGCTGACCATCAACTAGTCGCCTTTCTCAGATTCAGTGATATCATAAGTAGTAAATTAAATGTAGAAAGGAAACGCAATAAGATGATAGAAGCAAGCTTCGACCGACAAGAGCCTGCGAGACGAATGTCTCAACTCAAGGCAGCGGTGAGACTCTGAGCTGTGACAATATTAGCGAATTGTTTGAAAACAAGCAGGCTTTGCTTCTTCTAGTTAATTGGTTGAGCAATTTTCGAAGTCGTGACAGTGCCCCCTTATTGTTGCTAGATGGGCTTAGTTTAGAAATAGATCAAGCGTTTTGCGTTCTGCTTTAATATGCTCAGTACCGGGGACGTCCTCTTAAACCTTTAACACTTAGTTTAGAAGGGTGAGCGTTAGACTCCCGCAAAAATGAACAAGAGTAACCCAGAAAGCGCAACTGGTATAAATTTTCCTTCAGCAGATTACCGTCAGTCACTAAGAATATTCTGAGAATTGTATGGGTTCTCTGATATATATGCATATGCCAAAAGTAGGCCAGATTCTGAATGAGTGTGTGTGGGTGTGTAAGGTAACCTCAGAAGTTCGCCTAGTTCATAGATACTTGACTGTTGAAGTATCCGTTTTAGGGCTAGAACCTCGTTAGCAAAAATTGTGTCTGTCCGCTCCATACAACTACAATTAGGGGATTTCTTAATGTGGCTTAGAAATTAAAAAGATATCGAATGTGGCCTACTATTTGTTAAGGTTGCATTGGAATTGATGACAATCAATACAAAGGTGCTTTCAAATGGTAGACACACCAAAGTTAGAGCATTTTTCCTCAAGTCAAACATTTCGTCAGTTCCTTCGTTTCGATTTGTTTCAAGCAATAGTTGTTCAAGCTTTTAAATATTGAAATTTATATATATATGTCTTATGCATGGCATACTAAAGGACACGCTTCTTGTGCCTTATTGGAGCGGGGCTGTGGCGTTTGTATAACTATGGAAAAAACTGGTTTGAATAGATTGAATAAAGCGTCATGTTGACAACGTGTCACGTCGGGCAGTGACTCAGCTAGAAACTTTGGCTATCGTACCTTAAGCTCCGAGTCGACGAGGGAAAGGGTTGATTTGACTCTCGCACTCAATCACAGGCTCGGGAATCCCTCAGCCCCAGACTCTCTCCTAAAATTCTGTTGCCACCTGTAAGTCTACATCTTCTAGACATGGAAAAGCTGTAGAGTAAGAGCGCTCATCAAGAGAAGTTCTTCTTCGGGAGGACCGCAGGTGTGCAAAGAGTTTAGTAGTGAGCCTTCAGGTGGCCTTCATGTGTGGACAAGAGTAGAAACTGCCGCAAAGATTCTTTTAACGATGCCAAGTAAGCTAGAGAACAATGCTATGCTTTATAGACAACTGTACATTTAGAAAAGGTGATCTACAAACATACATATCATATAGATACTAACAAAAGTGATCGAGACTTTGTAGTTTTGGATACGATAAGAGGCATTTACTTTAAAAATGGATTCCTATGTCAGTAGCCAGGTAAGCGCATTTTAGGTCCTAAAACTTTCTCTAGCACCGTTGTAGTTAACGGGGCAAAAAACAATTAGCCATAAAGGTATTTTGAAATAAAGCCATAAATAAAGGCTTAATTTTGAAGGTGGCTTGTCCTAAAACTTCCAGAAAGGATTTAGTGTACAGAACACGGGGGATGGGAGATTGACACGCACGAATTAAAAGCCTGGCTTATCCGAAAAAGTACGTACGCCAAGCCGGCACTTTGCAATAAAAAGTATTATGCAAATTAGCGCGAAGACAGCTAATATTTTGTGTCTTTTAGTTTCGGAAATGTATAACTAGCACCTGCAGCGTTATGCTCTTGAGGTTTTCCTGCTTCAAATGCTAGCCACACTTCCACACACGCGAGGCTTTATACGAGTTTCGAATAACATATTAGATATGTTAAATTATATATGTTAGCTACCTATATAAATGCGATGTACAACATGCGACAGACATTTTGCCCTAGTTTATTAGGGATGAAAATCCGTTTATCTAGATTTTACAGGCATCTATTGCTGATTGACTTTGAGACATTAAGTAACGTAATTACACAAGGCGCATGCACACCTACACCCTAACAAAAAATGCTCGTCTTCGATGAAAAATGACAGCGTACGAATGAGCTGTTGGTCGTATGGAACGCTTCACGTACAAGTCGATCTTCTTTTTTATTCGAAGCCAAAATCCTCTAGAATTCGCACTTCAGTAATTTATTGATTTTGCAGTTAGTTAGAACCACTTATCGTCTATTCTTACCGCCAAGTGGTGCTTTCAGATGCATAAAGTGGCAAGATATACCACGTAAGAGTCAAAGCGAGCGTGGTAACTTTTTGAAACACAACTCTCCCACACCGAACGTATAATCAGCAATGTCTAAATCGGGAAAATGTCGGGAGATATTTTGCCGATTTAGACATTGACAAAAGGGCGGGTTTAAATAGATGAAAGTCGTTCTTACGTTCTCCTTGCTAATTTTGTTAGCAGTCACATTAAAACTCGTTAGATTATATAAAGTTGACAAAAAATTGATAGTATCTACTAAGGATAAGTTTCTCGACGATCGAATGGTTTTCCGCGTCGTAACTTACGTCTGGCACTATCGAAATACGCAGCGAGACCAGTCAAGAGATGCTTTGATAATAGATATTGATTTCTTCTTATCGGACAACGTCTCTGCACATTAACCTTCGAAACGCGTTGTGGTCCAGGTTCGAACCCGAGCATAGAGTACAGTTTGTTTTGAGCTGATAGAGTTCCTAATGGTGGTCCTGCAAAACAAAATAGAGAAACATAGCTTTGTGGAAGGCCTTGAGAACTCTTAGTGTTATTCTTTACGGTTGTAGTATGATTTGTGTTGATGAGACGTAATCTAATGGTCCTATCTCTCAATGTCAGTATCGCATGCATGATTTTTTTTTTTTTTTTGCTGATTCGGGCGTCCAGTTGGCCTGTCTGCCTGCAATTTCATTTTCGCTAGTGACTTTTCTCAACAATGAAAACCGGGACTCCGATGTTGGCCATTGAGGAAGAGACAAAGTTTTAAGTTTGTCAAGGAGGAGGGACATTTGCATACATTTTTGTGTTAATTTCATATTTATTGAGAGCAATTTGAGCGTATCTTAGATCACTAAAAAGGAAACAAGGTTTATCGTGTCGATGAATATTAGTTTTTGACCGAATATCGAATCCTTTTTTTGTACAAAAAATCCTGGTCCAAAGTTATGATCAAAATTAACGTGTATTTCTAACTCTAAACGTATTTTAAGGCCAAGGTTAGTTTCGCGTAGTTCTGTTATTTGTAGCAAAATCTGGTATGCGCCCATCAATAATATCCAGCTCTCTATTACATGATGTGGGAGGTGGGGGCATTCGAGGTCACCTTGTCTGAAGATCGACCACGTGCCGAAGCGATCTTTTAATAAAGCAGCGACGTTATCTGGTAGGCTGAGGGATGGACCGTTTTGCTTAAACCATATGTCTTGTGAACCTTTTTCTAATGATTTGAGGGGCAACAAAATCTAAGGTCATATCCTAGGGAAAATAAAGTTTATAACTTTGACGGAAAAAAAAGGACAAATGGTTCCTCCGGCTTACATGACGCTCCACATAGTAGTTTCTTTGGTATGTAAATTCCTTTCGTGGATAGTCTAAAATTCTTGGCTTTCAACGATATACAGCTGGTACACAAACTTAAGAAAAACATCCTTGTCGCGTTTCAGAGACAGGGCTGGATGTATGCAAAAAAGTAGCAAAAAACTGAGCGAAGCGAGTAACTGTCACGAAGAAGGTCAGTTAATTTATGCAGAATCTTGAACGTATAAAGTTTGTATTTAAGAAAGACGTATGCAAATATATTCAGTTGTTTTTGGTGCGGTCGTTTTGAAGTCGCTCCCGACCAGATGGCCGTTCTTTTACGGCCATTTGCTAAAGCTCACTCGTATTGTATCATATGCGCTGCAGCTGGTTGTTTTATTTTGCTACCTTTACGGCTGTGAGTGATTCATGTATATACGACCTTATCGGCGAATTTGAAAACTATTAGTTATCTTTAGGAAGAAGAAGAAATGTATAACCTACTCTAGAATCACCTTTGGCTCGGAAAGGATTAGTTTGAATCGTGGTGGTAATGAAAATTCCCCGCGTAATTTAAGGCAAGCCTTTAAACTTATCTAGTAGGTACTATGGGCTTTGAAAATTGGCTTCTAACCACAGAAATGATCTATTCGGTTAGTGATTACCAAACTGGATCGTGTATTCATCCAGACATGCACGATGTCGACAACAGCAAGATGGCCATTCTCAGCTACGCATCGATTCATCAAATTTCTAAAACGTTTGGGTACGTGTCTCGCGTAGCTAAAACGCACTTTGCAGTTCCTGCAGCAGATTCAATCACTTCTTGTCAGAGGAAAGCGGTCCTGCACACACGAATTCATGTGTAGCTGAAAAGGGATGTTCTAATATTGTAAATATCTAACTATTCTGAAGACAATTATTTTTACAAAATACCTCGTCGCTCATCGCTCTCTTCGTACTGGAGTAGTTTCTACTTCTATCCTCGACATCCGAAACAGAATCCAACTATGTACAGTGTACAGCCAACTACTAGTGAGCCAAACGTCAATATAAGCATGGGCTTCATTGGTTCTGCATCTTTGTTGACATCGACGCGTATTCCCGAGGCACCATCAAGTGGAAGGCCACCCACAGCTCAATGCACACTTGAAGAATACCTCCACTTGATGAACGTCTATATTTTGAGATAAGAAAAATAAAAAAATAACTTTCTTTGAAGTCACATATACTACGTAATATGTGTCGTTGATAGCACTCGAAGCAATGCCACCTGACGAAATAGTAGCAATGAAGTAAAACGATGCTATGCTTCATGACAAGCATGTTTCCAACGACTAGACGCATTTTCAGGCCAACTGCGCACGATATCAGAGATACCGTCTAAATTATATGTCATAAATATGAGATATCCGTTTCTTCGATGCATTTGCACTTCAGAACTTATTGTTAATTATATAGGAATTATACATTATATAGGAGAAATGATCTGTTTAACGGTCAGCGCACCTGGTAAAGGATATGATTGTGTCAACTATTGCTGTTAACGTTCGAACCGTTGGCGTTGTACTATCGTATGATAACTGGTGCTCATGGTAAGCAAGAATACAACCAAAAAGATGATCGAGTCAACCTGCCATGCCCTATGTATAACTTCTAAAATTGCTTACTAAAAATCGTCGTTTGACACTTTATTTCGGTAAATACATCAAACCGAATCAACAGTATTATATCATTGACCTGGTGACTGTTCAATATAAACATTAAGAATTAAAATATTGAGAAGAAAAAAAAAAAAGCAATTACGAGGCAGATCAAAGTGGCGCGCTTCTGAGTGTCAAAATAACAGTAACAGCATTTTTGAGTAAATATTTTTTACTACGAGTATTTCGCAGCAGACAGCTGATTTGCTAGCCTGTCAATTGGTAGTACATTTTTCGAGAATGTTTTTTCGTGCTACGTATAATCAAAGCCTCGGGAATTGACCACGACCACATAACGGCCGTAACTGAGTAAAGAAACATAATTTAAAGCATATTTTTTATGCGGCGTCGCTAATGTGGATGCTTTAGGCCGTTGATCGGCAACTGAGCCGAAAGGCACCCGACAATCAAACCGTATACATTCATTGTTTCTTAAATTGGGTTCATTCGCTATATTTGCACATATATAATTATATCAAGTGACTGGAAAGGCGTGCTAGGTTTTCCATTGGTTGGTTATTGCCAATCGACTGTTTTACCAACTACATAATGATCTATCCATAGCTTGTGGCTGTGCTAACTTAGCTCAGTTAGTTTGACACTACCGCCATTTTGCCATTCAGTCAACATCGAGCTAGACCCTAAGATGACGGTACCCCATTCACAACCGCAAAGAAACATTGTAGAGTAATTAGTTCAATGATAAGAAACGTAACTCAAAATATAAGTAAGCTATATATATATAAAGATATGTTTATGGAACTCATTTTTCATCAGTCCTATTGCTTGTACAATGTAAGCCAAAGTAATCGGAAATAATTTAAACGACTTTTGTATTTTCCTACATACAGACTGGATCTAGCAAAGAATATTGTGATAAAATAACCCATTTGCTGTATGATACTGTAGCTTGCATATTTAGGCTCATCATTTAATACCGAATCTGCAAATTGCATTGCTTGAGGAAATTTATCTACGCCAAGAAACGTTATCGAACTTTAACGAAATAGAAAGAAAAACTATTCATTGTTGTATCTGACAAAAGTTCAAATAAATGAAAACTTCCAGTTTGACGTCCGAGACCGCCGTTGCGTAACACATCGCACTGCAGGCCCCCTAACACGACGAGCGTTCTCCACTCCGAACATCCAACATAGAACTTACACTTACTATTGACGCTCGTAGCATTATCATTACGAATGT